TACTAAATTGTGCATTTTAAAATAGTGAATTTTACGTTAAGTAAACTTTATCTCAACAATAAAAATCACCAAAAAAGTGTATACTAAAAGGGAAGTGAATTTATTATTTTTTTTAATGTTTTTTATTTGATTTTTAGGGAGAGAGGAATAGAAACATCAATGAGAGAGAAACACTGATTGGCTGCACACCCCCTACTAGAGATCTAGCCCCAACCCAGGCATGTGCCCTGACAAGGACCTCTTGCTGCATGGGTCAACGCTCAACCACTGAGCCAAACCAGCCGGGCAAGGAAAGTGAATTTAAAAGAAATCTGAAATAAGGGAAGTGGATATATTGAAAGACTAGAGGTCTACATGAGCTTGAAGAACAAGCAATAGGAGTAAAGACTGGAACTGGAAGGACTGGAGATTCAAGACAGAAAGTAAGGTTTCAGCATTCCAGATCTCAGAGATTAGAACTTGAGTGGTGAAGCATAGAACATGGCCATGAAAATAGGTATCAATATTAGAATAGAAGTCACTATTACAGGAGTCAGAGAGAACATGAAATTGTCCTGTAGCTGAACCACATATACACTACAGCTACTCAGGAGGAAAGACTGACTTGGTGACAGATACTTTGTCAGCTGTCAAAATCCTTATTAGATGAGTTACAACTGATACAGAATTGAATAATAAAAGCCTACAAAGTGGGAAGATTTTTAACTAAGAGTAAATGTCAAATTAGTCAAAATTATCAAAAGCTAGTAGCCCCAATTCATTCAACAGTTTTCTTACTGAAGTGAAAACTATGTCATAGGCACTTTGCTAGATAATGGAAATACAAATAACTTATTTGCTGACTATTCTTGAGTAAGTAAGATCTTCTCTAAGACTGTTTTTTCATATGCAAATTGAGTATAATATCAACTCTGCAATGTTGTTGTGAAGGACAGAGATAATATAAGTAAAATATAGAACTTGGTACCCTAAGTGCATGAGAAATAAGAGGGTTATTTTCCTTTTAAAGATGGCCTATCTACAAGGAGCTAACAGTCTATGAAACATCATTATCATTAACATTTATTTAGAACTTACTATGTGCCAAGAACTGTGCTAAGCATTTAACATGTATGAACACATTTTATTCTTACACTAACCCTGCAAACTCTTATTTTCCCTATTTTGGAGATGAAGAAACTGAGGCACAGGAAAGCTGAGGAACTTGCCCAAGGCCACACAGCTCAGTAAGTGGTACAATCAGATTCAAATGTAGGCAGCCTTGCTCCAGGCTGTGTGCTCTTAACTACTAGACTATGCTAAAAAACAAAAATTATGCCCTGGCCGGTTTGGCTCAGCGGTTAGAGCATCGGCCTGCAGTCCAGAGAGATCCAGGTTCGGTTCCCGCTAGGGCCTCGGTTGCAGTTTGTCCCTGACCTTGGTTGGTCGTGTGGGTGGCAGCCATTCGATGTGTCCCTTTCACATCGATGTTTCTCTCTCTCTCTTCCTCTCTCTCCCTCCCACTCTACCTGAACAAAAATGGAAAAGTGTCCTCAGATGAGGATTAAAAAAAATTATAATATTACAACAACTTAAATGGAAGTATGTGCAAAAAGCAATGCAATACTAGAAAAAGAACCTAAGTTTGGTAGCAACTGAGCTGTGATTAAAAAAAAAAAAATTCTTTATTGATTTGAGAGAGAGAGAGAGAGGGAGAGGGAGAGAGAAACATCGATGAGAGAGAACTACTGGCCACCTCCTGCATGCCCCCCACTGGGGATCAGGCCCACAGCCTGGGCATGTGCCCTGACTGAGAATTGAACTGGCAACCTCCTGGTGCATGAGTCGATGCTCAACCATTGAGCCACACTGGCCAAGCTGAGCTGTGTTTAAAGGGTATCTGCTACCCGGCCAGTGTGGCTCAGTGGACTGAGTGTCATCCCATGGACTGAGAGGTCCCAGTTTGATTCCCAGTCAGGGCACATGCCCAGATTGTAGGCTCAATCACATGAGAGGCATGTAGGAGGCTGCCAATCAATGTTTCTCTAGTGCATTGATATTTCTCTCTCTCCCTTCCTCTCTCTCTAAAAAAATCAATAAAAACATATTTTAAAAAATATATAAATAAAGGGTATCTGCATAACAAACAGGGAGCAAACATTCCAGTGAGAAGATACAGCAGATACAGAAATTATATCTAGATGGCATTATGGTGCTCTATGATGCCAATGCCCAAATATCTGCCAGAATGGACAAATAATTGGACCCAGTAGAGCAATGCCACTCATGAAGTAACACCAGGAAAAGTGGCATACATTATAAGCAAAAAATATATAAGCTAACTCATCAAGCTAGTTTAACCTGTTGCTGGCATGATTTATGATGATATTACAGGTAAAACTTGTCCTGTACAAAGTTATGAAATCACTAAACTAGTCTTGGGCAACTCCTCCCCTCCACTAGAGTCCTTCAATACCACCACCTTCAATAACAACCATTTCTAGCATCTCTCAAGCTCTCTTCTCTATGCTAACTCCTCATAATTCTAAAGTAAAAATAATAAATTATAGCTTAAGAATTTGGGAGCCCAGCCAGTGTGCTTCAGTGGCTGAGCGTCGACCCATGCACCAAGAGGTTGCCGGTTCAATTCCTGGTCAGGATACATGCCCAGGTTGTGGGCCTGATCCCCAGTGAGGGCATGATGAAGGCAGCCAATTGATGTTCTCTCTCATCGATGTTTCTCTCTCTCTCCCTCCCTCTCATTTCCTCTCTCTGTAAAATCAATAAAGGAAAAAAAATTAAAAAAAAAAAAAGAAAAAGAAATCCAAGAATTTGGGAGAGGTACATTTTTAATAAGGGATTAAGATCTTAAATTAGAAAAATATAAAAATAACTACAGAACTTCTATTTGAATAGAAGATGATATTTTAATAAAAGTCAGTTTCCATGGTGCCCTTAATAGCTCTTTGAGAATAAAATGTCAACACTTTAGTAACTTGTTGTGGACTTGAATCTTTTGGGTTTTAGAATTCTCCCAGTCTCCTAACTCCAACTAAATGATACAAAAAAAAAAAAAAAAAAACCTGCTCATAAAAGCAAAATCATTAACAAAAATGCTGTCTGTGGATTGTTCAGTTACTTTAAATTTTGAAGTTCTTCCCTGCAAAAAATGATTCATATGATTTAGATGCAGTTCTACCCAAAGACAATAGATGCCCTATTATACTACTCTGTGATTCTTTAAAAAAAAACCTCGCCTTCTATGTTCTCTCTCAAATCTACCAGAAAATCAAAACTATATCTTCTGTTGCCTAATATAAGGGTTTAAGAACTATGTTTTGAAGAGTGCTTAAAAATAATAACAACAATAATAATGTCACACATTTAATTTTAAATAAAAAATATAGTTTTGAAAATAATATTCTTACTAAAAATTACAACATTAATTCTTAAAAACCCTTGCCTGGAAGCTTGCTAGTGTTCCTCAGAAAATTTCCAAGTGGCATGTGCTCCCCCAACAGGGACCCAGAAATACAGTGGCGCATTAGAGCACAGAACTAAGAAAAAAACGTATGGATTCTAATCCTGGTTCTGCCTCTTCTAACTGTGACATGAAGCAAGCTCCCCTTTGCTTCCTGGGCTTTGGTATCATCATCTCCAAAACGGGAATAGTACTGCTTGTCCCACCTCCCTCACACAAAAGTGCTTTGAAAACTATAGAGTGCTACACAGAAACAATTTATTACTAAACATTTTCTAAAATTTTTATGTTTTACCTATATAACTTATATAACTAATACTGCTTTATATTTTTTCTATCCTATTTATATTATATACATATATATGTATATTTTAAGATTTCAAAACATTTGAAAACCTTCAGACTAATTAACATATTTTATATCCTTGCTACTCAAAGTGCAGTCCTGGAACAACAGCACAGGTATCACCTGGAATCAGGTTAGAAACAAAGACAGATACTCTAGACTTACTGAATCAGGATTTGTCTATTCACAAGATAAGATTCCCAGGTGATAGGAATCTATGCACAGTAAGGTTTCAGAAACACGGATTTACATACCGATACCATTTATAATAATAATTATATAAATAGAAAATTATTTTCAAAAAAGGTATTTCAAATGTATGCATCTGATTTATCTCCAGAAAATTTTAAGAGATATTTCACTGAATAATGGTTACTTAAGATCAGAAGCCATGTCTCAGTCATTCTCATATTTCTGTCCGATATATAGCAGACAATGTTTCTTGGGTAGAAGCAAAAGAGCCAAGATTATCAATAATTAATGTCAAAGATAGTAATCAATGTACATTTACCATAACAGAGAATATGCCCACTTAATACTAATTATTAATTATATAGTAAGCATTTCTGGCAATAGCTTTTTAAAAATGTAATGAGTTTTTGCAATTTTATTTTATATTTGAACAGTGCCACACCCAAATTTATAAACAGGAATGGTAGGTTATATATAAAATCCATTAAGCATCAAAAAAAAGATTGCTGCAATCTTTCAGATGGAGAAAAAGGAAACAAAATTTACAACAATAATAACTTTAAAGTCAGACAAAAAGCCCTGGCTGGGTTGCTCAGTTGGTTAGAGCACCACCAAACCACCAAAGTTGCAGGTTCGATTCCTGGTCAGGGCACATACAAGAATCAACCAATGAATGCATAAATAAGTGGAACAACAAATCAGTGAAATCAGTGTGTGTGTGTGTGTGTGTGTGTGTGTGTGTGTGTCTTCCTTCTCTCTCTCAAATCAGTAATTTTTTTTTTTTTAAGTCAGACACAATTCAAATTCTTGCTCTGGCACTTAGATTACATTTCAACAAGCTACTTATTGTTTCTAGCCTAAATTTTCTCATGTGTAAAATTGGAATAATAGCACTTACCCTTACAGAGATAAAAGTATTGTCAACCATTACTATTATAGGCATACATTATTATTTATGGAAAACAGAATTAATGTTTTAAAAGTTTAAAAAGTGAAATTTACCTTATCAAGTTTTAGTTCCAATTCTGCCACATCTCCTTCTACTTCTTCCAAAGCAGCCCTAAAAAAATTATATGTAAAATAAGTTATATTATGTGTTTAAATGTATACTTTACTCTTGAAAATTACTCTAAGTAAAAAAATAGATATAAATGGTTAAAAACTATACTTCACATAAAGTAATAATTAACTTAGGATGAAATATAAATATTTCATAATCACGCAATACAACAGATAATATGATTCTTATTCAAGGTAATGAGAGAATACATTAGGCTGATTTACTCAAAGCATTTATATTATTCAAATTAATAACACTAATTAGAACTATTTAACATGTGTTGGGTTTTTTTAATGAGTAAGAAATTTTAGAAGTTGAGCCTTACAGAGATTCAGATTTCTATTCAACAAAACACAAGTAACCAAACAGGAAAGCATCTGTGGCAACCAAAAAGAAAAGCTTTTACTTTTAGAAATAGCTCAGAAAGACATCACCCTTGCTTAATGTTCCATTTATTTCCACTGTACTTTAAAAAAAATTTTTTTTTGTTTAATTTTTTTAGAGAGAGAAGTGGGGGGGGAATAGAAATATGGATGGAGAGAACATGGATTGGCCACCTCCTACATGCCCCCTACTGGGGATTTGGCCCACAACCTAGACATGTACACAGACCAAGAATTGTACCAGAGACCTCCTAGTACATGTAGGAGGCGGCCAATTTTATGGAAAAACACTTTGATGATATATGCAGAAAAAAAAATCTGGAAACATATTTACCAATCTATTAACTACAACTTTGAAGAATGAAGATTAGAGAGCAGGGTGTATAAACAAAGATTTACACTTTTTATTATTTATACTTCTGGATTCTTTAATATTTGCAATAACTACGTATTTTAAAATAAATTTTTAAATTTTTTCTTTATTGATTTTAAAGAGAGAGGAAAGGAGAGGGAGAGAGAGAGAGATAGAAACATCGATGAGAGAGAACATCAACTGGCTGCCTCCTGCATGCCCTTCACTGGAGATTGGGCCCACAACCTGTGCATGTGCCCTAACCTGGTATTGAACTGACGGCCTCTTGGTGCATGGGTCAATGCTCAACCACTGAGCCACACCTGCCCAGCTAAAATAATTTTTAAAGCTAATAAAGAGGGAGAAGAAAAAAGTTTAGACATCACCTTCCTAGGAGGTGGGTCTTCCTGGGAACCTCTTCCCCCACCCACTCAGGATCAATTATACACCCCTCTTGTGCCCCCAAAGCACCTCATGAATATCTCTATAACTGTTCACTTTGCCCTTGGCAATTTAAACACTTAAATTTTTTTGTTGACTCAAGAAAGAAACTCCACGGTTTTTACTGTCAAAAACTCTCTTCATTTATACTTTTAATCTTTATATAATTCATCTTGACTCAAACTTCAATTTCTTTCAAGCAAATCAGTTAAAATGACCAATTAAAGATTTGAATTAGTTATTGGTTTCTACTAAACATATACAGTCACTTGTAGCATAATAACCTTTCTTTCGGTCAACGTCAGACCACATATACAATAGTGGTCCCATAAGATTAAAATGGAGCTAAAAGTTCCAATCACCTAGTGATATCATATCCATTGTAGCCATAGGGTCTTAATGTCGGAGCGAAACCATTACTCATGTGTCTGTGGCAATGCTGGTATCAACAAACCAACTGCACTGCCCATCATATGAAAGTATAGCACATACAATTATGTACAGTACATAATACTTGATAATAAACCACTGTTACTGGTTTACGTATTTACTTTACTATTTTTTCTTCATTTTACAGTGTACTCTTTATTAAAAAGAAGTTTGCTGTAAAACAGTATGTCATGTTACTCCAGCAGTAACCTCATACATCTTGTATTTACCGCATCTCTTGACTGCATCATTTAATTTCATCTTGCGTTGTTTTAAAATTTTAGGGTAGCCTAAGTGCACACTGTTTATAAATTCCACAATACAGGACAATAATGTCCTTGGCCCTCACATTTACTCACCACTTACCCAGAGCAACTTCCAGTACTGTAAGCTCATTCATGATAGGTCTCCTATAGAGGTGTACCACTTTTTATCTTTTATACCAGGTTTTACTATACCCCTTTTATATTTAGATGTTTAGATACCATTATGTTATCACTGCCTACAGTATTCAGAACAGGAAAATGCTATACAGGCTTGTAGCCTAGGAGCAACAGGCAATGCCAAATAACCTAGTGTAGCAAGCTATACCATCTAGGTTTGTGCAAGTGCAGTCTATGATGTTCGCACAATGACAAAATTGCCTAACCACAGTCCTGGCCGGTTTGCTCAGCAGTTAGAGCGTGGGCCTGCAGTCCAGAGAGACCGGGTTCAGTTCCCGCTAAGGTCGCGTACCTTGGTTGCGGTTTGTCCCCGGCCCAGGTTGTGTCATGCGGGTGGCAGCCACTCGATGTGTCCCTTTCACGTCGATGTTTCTTTCTCTCTCTCTCTCTCTCTCTTTTCCTCTCTCTCCCTCCCACTCTATCCAAACAAAAAATGGGAAAATGTCCTCGGGTGAGAATAAAAAAAAAAGAAAAGAAAGCCCTTTTACAATTTATTAAAAAGTTAAATAGCCCTGGCCGGTTTGGCTCAACAGTTAGAGCACTGGCCTGCAGAACAATAGGTCATGGGTTTGATTCTGGTCAAGGGCACAAACCTCAGTTGCTGTTCATCCCCAGCCTTGGCCGGGGTCATGTGGGAGGCAACCGGTCGATGTGTCCCTCTCACATGGATGTTTCTCTCTCTCCCTCTCTCCCACTCTATCTGAAGATAAATAGAAAAATATCCTCAGGTGAGGATTAAAAAAAAAAGTTAAACATAGGTTACCACAGGGTCCAACACTTGCACTCCTAGGTATCTACGCAAATAAGTTGAACATTTATGTTCACACCAATACCTGCACCTGAATGTTTGTACCAGCTTTATTCATAATTGCCACAACTTGGAAACAACCAAAATGTGCTCAGTAGATGAATGTGGTATACCCACACAATGGAATAGTTTTCATCAATGAAAAGAAATGACCTATTAAGCCACACAATGAAATGACTAAATCTCAAATATATACTGCTAAGTAAAAAAAGCCAATCTGAAATTCTATATACTTTATATTCCAACTATATGACAGTTTGGAAACTGTAAGGACAATAAAAAGATCAGTGGTTGCCAGGGATTCATGGGAAGGGACAGAGGAATGAATATGAGGAACTTAGGGGATTTTTTAGGGCAATGAAACTATTATTCTGTATGTTACTTCACTGGTGGGTACATGTCATTCATTTGTTAAAACCTATCTATAGACTGTACCCATAGGTTCACAAATGTGAGCCCTAATATAAACTATGGACTTTAGTTAATAATACTGTATCAATATTAGTTCATCAATTTTAAGAAATGTATCACACTAATGCAAGATGTTAATAATAGGGGAAATCGTGAATCAGTGGTTGCTAGCTAGGGATTCAGAGAAATAAGAAGAGAAATAAGTAGGTAGAATATAGGATTTTTAGGGAGTGACATTATTCTGTATGATATTGTAATGGTAGTAATTTAACATTATACATTTGTTAAAGTCTGTATAACTATACAACACAAAGAGTGAATCCTAAAGTAAAATACGGATATTAATAAATAATAATATATCAATATTGGCCCATCAGTAGTAGCAAATATACCACATTAATGCAAAATGTTAACTGGGAAAACTGAGAGTGAGTATATGGGAACTCAATACTTTCTGTACAATTTTACTCTAAACCTAAAATTGTTCTATAAAATTTTTTAATAAGCTCTTTATAATCATATATTCAAAGAATCTAAAAGTTTATATTGGACGTCTTAAAAATTTAACCTTCTCTAAAAAAATCCGTCCTTGGTCATCTAAGATGTATGTGATAACTTGTAGCAACAGGTAAGTACCTAGTGTCTAAGGCAGCCTGGCTAATTGCTGAATATTCATTATTGCTTTTTTTTCTTTAAGTATATGAGAAAGAGCATAATCTCAGTTCAAACTGTGCTTCAAAACTCACTTATCTGCCCTGGCCATTTTGGTTCAGCGGCTAGAGCATCGGCCTGTGGACCAGAAAGTCACGGGTTCAATTCTGGTGAAAGAGCCCATACCTCAATTGCAGTTAGTCCCTGGCCCTAGTCGGATCATGCAGGAGGCAACCAGTCGATGTGTCCCTCTCACTTCAATGTTTCCCTCTCTCTCCCTCACTCTATTTGAACATAAATGTAAAAATATTCTCAGATGAGGGGGGAAAAAAACAAAACTCATTTATCTAAGCCTAAGGTATTTTATCTAAGTTTTTTCATCTGTAAAATTAGTAAATAAATACCTACTTAAAATAGCCCAGCTGGTGTGGCTCAGTGGATTGAGCATCGTCCCATGGATAGAGAGGTCCCGGTTTGATTCCTGGTCATGCCCAGGTTTTGGGAATGATCCCTAGGAGGGGACATGCAGGAGGATGCCGATTGATGTTTCTCTCTCACATCAATGTTTCTATCACTCTCCCTTCCTCTCTCTCTAAAAAATCAATAAAAACATATTTTAAAAAAATAAAAATAAAATAAAACAGTTGTAAAGGTTAAATGAAGGACTGGCTATATCATTGACTACAGTATATATATAATGATACAATATATGTAAAGAACTTCTTTCTCTCCTTTCTCTCATCCCTGTATTCTGCAGAATTTTGCCTCCCTATTACTTAATATTCATTAATGCAAGAAAACCATTCTGAAAAATATGTTCATGAAATAAAAACAATCCACACATTAGCCTTCAAAATATTAGATTACAGATACTATTTATTGCGCATATAACTTTCGTAAGTGTCCAAAGCATTAAAGAGGATATTATATACACCCTACCCTCCATAGCTTAAAATTAAATTCAAAATTTTAAATTAAAAGTAATTAAAAATTATTAAAGTTTAAAAGTTACACACATTGACAATGAAAGAAAACATATGCTCAACTAGCAAAATAGGCAAAACATGAAATAATGTTAAAAG